GGGCCAATTGGAGGAAGAGTAGTGGGGTACATGGGGGGTAAGAAAGTTGGTGGAATGAGATAGACATCATTAACCTAGGTACATGTATAACTGGTGCAACTCTACATTGTATACTACCAGAGAAATAAAAAGTTGTGCTCCATTTGTGTACAATGAACCAAAATGCATTCTGCTATCATGTATAACTAATTAGAATTTTTAAAAAAGAAAAACAAACTTGGAGACATCACATCCCTTGATTTCAAAGTATATTATAAAACTATACAAATCAAAACAGTATGACACTGGCATAAAACCAGATACCTAGACCAATGGAACATAATGGAAGGCCCAGAAACAAACTGAAGCAAACAGTAAACTAATTTTGACAATGGCATCAAAAAGATACAATGGAGAAAGGCTAGTGTCTTCAATAAATGTTCAAGAAACTGGATATCCACATGCAGAAGAATGAAATTAGACCTTATCTTATACCATACAAAAAATCAACTCAAACTGTATATAAGAGAACTAAATACAAGGTCTAAAACCATAAAACTGCTAGAATATAGAGTAAAAGCTCCTTTACATTGTTAATTAATTTTTTGATATGACAAACAAAAGCACAAGTAACAGAAGCAAAAACAAACAAGTGGGACTATATCAAGCTAAAAATCTTCCATAAAACAAAGAAAACAATCTACAAAATGGATAGGTAGCCTACATATTAGCAAAAAATATTTGCAAATATATATCTGATGGGAGAGTTCAATATCCAAAATATATAAGAAACTCGCATAACTCAATAGCAAAAAAATAAATAAATAAAAAATAAACCCTGATTAAATATTGGCAATGGAGGGCTAAGTTTGTGGCTCAATGGTAGAGCACTTGCTTAGCATGTGCAAGGCACTGGGTTTGATCCTCAGCACCACATAAAAAATAAATAAATAAAATAAAGATATTATGTCCAACTACAACAAAAAACATTTTAAAAAATATTGGCAATGAATTTGAATCTCTTTTCTCAGAAAAAGGTATAAAAATAGTCAACAGAAGCTGGGTGTTGTGGTGAGACCTGTAATCCCAGCATATTGGGAGGCTGAAATAGGAGGATCACAAGTACAAAGCCAGCCTCAGCAACTTAGTGAGCACCTAAGCAACTTAGTGAGACCCTGTCTCAAAATAAAATATAAAAAGGGCTAGGGATGTCACTTAGTGCTTAAACACCCCTGGGTTCAAGTGCCAGTACAGGTACATGAAAAGAATTCAACATCATCAGGAAAAGGCCAATCAAAACCACAATGAAATATCACGTCATATTTTTTAGAATATTGCCAAAAAAGTGAAGAGATAATGTGTGCTTTCCAGGGTATAGAAAGAAAAATGAATAATTAAATTTCCACAAAATTAAAAGCCTATGGTTTTCAAAGACACTGTTGAGAAAATGAAAAGCTAAGTCTTGTACAGTGGTGCATGCCTATAATCTCAGTGACTGGGGAGGCTGAGGCAGGAGAATTCAAGTTTGAAGCCAACTTAGGCAACTTAGATTGTGTCCCAAAATAAACAAAATAAATACAAAGGGTTGGAGATATGATTCAATGCTAAAAATGTTTCAGGGTTCAGTCCTCAGTACTGCAAATAAAATAAGAAAGAAAGAAAAAATGGAAGGCTATATCACAAACTTGGATAAAATCTTGCAAAAAACATATCTCTCAAAGGACTTATAAAAATAATACATAAAGATCTCTCCAAACTAAGCAATGAGGAAACAACCTATTTAAAAATGGGCAAAAGACACAAACATACACTTAACTGAATATTTTATACAGATGGCAAATAAACACATAAAAATGTTCAACATCATTATTCATTAGAAGATACAAATTAAAACCAGAGTGAGATATAACTATATATCTATTAAAATGGCTAAAAGAAACATTACTGATGATATCATGTGTTGATAACTATGTAGAGCAACTGAAACTCATATTAGTAGTAATATACAAATTTTCCCAAACTGTCATTTGGAAAACTGTCATTATCTTATAAAAGTTAAGGAAACACCTACCATACAACCCAGCAATTCTAACCCTAGGCAATTACCTCCCAAAAATCAGCGATGTAGGTTCTCATAAAAATCTTATACTGAAATAGTCATTTCAACTTTATTCAAAACAGCTCAAAACTGGGAACCCAGATGTCCATTAACATGTGAATAGTTATAAGACACAACTATTGACACATGCAACAGGCATATATAAGGCATATGTATTAAAGACATTATATTAAGTGAAAAATACTATACACAAAATATCCAACTATATGATTTAATTTATATGACAGTCTACAAAGAAAAAAATTATGATAAGAAAAAGCAGAACATTGTTTACCAGGGTCAGGGGTGGAAGCACAGATTGACTGCAAAGGGAAGATAAGAAAATGCTTTTATTTTCCAGTACTGGGGCTTGAACCCAGGAGAGCTCTAGCACTGAGCTACATGTCCATCCCTTTAAATTTCTGATTTATTTATTTTGATTTTGTGACAGGATCTCACTAAGTTGTGCAGGCTGGCTTTGATCTTGTGGTCCTTCTGCCTCAGCCTCCCCAATAGCTGGGCATACAAGTATGTGCCACCATGCCTGGCCAAGATAACTTTTATGGATTAATAAAAATTCATGTCTATAATCTCAGAAATTCAGGAGGCTGAGGAAGGATGATGTTGAATGCCAGCCTTAGCAACCTACTGAACCACCCTATCTCAAAATTTAAAAAAAAAATAATAAGAATAAAAAATAAAATAGCACCTTTTCTTGCTATTGGAATCCAGTGGGTAGAGTCCATAAATGCTGTTAAAATACCTTAAAATGCACAGGGCAGCCCCACATTGAGAACCATTGTTCTGTATTCTACTTTCTTCACTCTACAGGATGACTGTGGTATCTATATGTTGCTATAACATAATTATATCTACTCTGTTTCTTGCTACACAATACTACAAAATCAACATCCTCATGTTTCTTATCCCTCATGCTAGGGATAAATTTGTAAGTTGCTTCTAACTGTATGCCACCATACACAACACTGCCATGCAATCAATGGCCTTGTACATGTTGGCTCTGGAGCTCTGTAAGAACTTCTCTGGGATATAATTTAAGAATAGAACCACTAGGTGAACATACTTTATATACAAATAGAGATATGAAAAATTGTGCTCTATATGTGTAATAAGAATTGTAATGCATTCCGCTGTCATGTATTTAAAAAATAAAATCAATAAAAAATAAAATTAAATTAAAAAAAAAAAAAAGAAATAGAGCCAGTAGGTCATAAACATGCTCAACTTTTATAAATACTCCTCAGGTGCTTTCAGGAATGGCTAAACAAGTTTATATACCATGTAGAATAGAGTTATATATAAGACCTTAGGATACTATTCTTAGAGAGACCTGGTTGAAAGTTTTGCCCTAGACTAGCATCTTGGAACTTGGATTTCAAGAGGGTTCCCTGCTCTATGATAAACATAGTTTACTACCTGGACACAGTTATATACACCTATGATCCAAGCTGCTAGATATAGGAAAGCTGAGATAACTTAGTAAAACGCTGTCTCAAAATAAAAATAAAATAAAATAAAATGGGCTGGGGTTGTAGCTCAGTGGAACAGTTCCCCTGATTTCAATCCCTAGTTAAAAAAATCTCACTGTGCCTGTTCAAGCATTGTGGTTTATGTTGAACAAGTGCTTTCCTTCTGAGAGTCTGAAATTTTGTATATGCTAGGCGGAGAGTGCCTATGTGACCAATAAATGAGAAAAAATTTGGATATGAAGTGTCTAATAAATTTCCCCGACAGACATTTCACATGTTGTCACAACTCATTACTAAGGGTAAATTTAAGTGCATCTTACCTGACTCCACTGGGGGAGGACTCCTAGAACCTTGTGTCTGGTTTCAGCTGGACTTAGTCCCCTGTATCTTTTCCTTTTGGTGATTTTTCTTTGAATCCATTCAGTATAATAAACATAGCATTGAATAAACTATATGCTAAGTCCTGTGAATCCCCCTGGCAAATCACTGAACATAAATGTGATCTTAGGGACTACCTCAATGCACATCCCCATAAGCAAGGTAAGAAAGTTTCTAAAAGACTTATTTGTAATGGCATACTTTGTGTCATTTGAATTTTGCATCATATGTGTGCATTTCTTCTTTAAAAGTAAATATTTTATAAAATGGGAAAAAGGGCTGTCAAAACAACCAGGTTATCTGTGAATGAGATCCAAACCATGTTAGAGAACCACAGAGGTCACATACAGAAACATCCCCATACTCTACAGGAGGCAAATAAAGCCCCAAGAGGACAGGGTACTTGTATAGAATTACCAAGACCATTATCATAGGCATAGATATCAAATCCTCAATGTCTATTTCCTAGTGTTCCTTCCTCTAGGCCCATAGCACCTTTTCTTGCACTTGTTGATTCTACTACTCTAGTGCTCTCACCTAAATGCCTTTCAGAGCCCTTACTCTCTTGCTAACTCTGGCCCCCTTTATTTCCCAAATCCTGGAATTACCATGTAATGAATATGTTGAGTTCCTCCCAAAATACTGACTCTCATGGAAACTGAACCCAACAAGAAAACAAAATAGAAGCTAAAGAAAAATCCTACTTATAACTATCTTGAAGTACAAGGAAAGGAGAGTGGAATTGAAAAGAAAGAGAATCCTAGGCCAAACCACAGTACCTTCTTAAACCCTCATATCCTTTTTAAAGACCAGGAATCAAAAGCTGGGCTAGAGAGGAACTTGTCCCTCACTACAGGATAAAGCAGATGAGTAGAATCAGACATGCTCCTTCTATTACTTCCTAATGATATTTCAAAAACCTCCCCAGGGTAGAGATATAGCTCAGTTATTAGAAGCATTAGAGTGCTTGCCTTGCATGTACAAGGCCCTGAGTTCAATCCCCAGCACCACAAACAAACCAACAAAACACTTCCCCAAAGGGATAAGATACTTACATGCTCTAGGAAGCAGGGTCCTATCTCACTGAGGTGGGGGTCATCATTGTTGTACTGTTTCTCCAGGTCTCTCACGAAGCCCATTTGAAACCTGTAGATGTCTTCAATGTTCCCAAAGATTACCTTCAGTTGTTCATCGCTGAACATGTCCCTTCTCTTCCGGCACTGCTTCAGGTAGCCCTGAAGACAAAGGAAAACTCCAAAATGAAGATGTCCACTACTCTCAGAAGGCTTCATTGCTTCCCAAACACTTGAGAGCATCACTTCAGCTCCATGAAGTAGGCAGAGAATAGTCATTTCCAATTTTCATATAAGGAAATTGAAGTTTAGAGAAGGAAGGATACTTCACTAGTAAGTGATTTCCGCAAACGTCTTCAGAGTATAAAGACACCAGAGTGCAGGGTTTTCCCCACCATTCTTTATGATTGGGACCCCAACATCAAAGGGCCCCTTTCCAGAAGGTGGTTTTGCACAAACTTATCTTAGTAGTTATTGGTTTAGCTGGATCCATTCACATTTCTTAAGTTTTATTCCTTATAAGACAAACCCAAATGTCTTAATAATTTTGAGAATAATCTGGCAATGGAGGGCAGGGAGGAAAATTTCCAATAAGGGAATGTTATTTGACCAAACTAAACCATTTTTTAAGGTGAATATCTCAGCTATCTAAGGTAGCTGGCCTGAAGAGATTATTTGGATGAGCTCAGCCCAAAAGCCCATGAGTGCCTGGGCATGGTATTTCTAAGAGGGTAAGTGTTAGGGCACATTGATGAATAAACACATGAATTAATACAGATACTCATGACGAAAAGAGAAGGGATGAAAGGAATCTTGGTTTGGTAAATGAACACTGAGGCAATATAATGAGATCTGGGGCACACTATAAGTCAGGGAAATAAAAAAAAAAAACACAGCTGAGGGGCTGAGGTTGTGGCTCAGCGATAGAGCACTTGCCTAGCACATGTGAGGCACTGGGTTTGATCCTCAGCACTACATAAATAAATAAATAAATAAATAAATAAACACATAAATAAATAAAGGTATTTTAAAAACACAGCTGAAATTGGGTCTTCCATTCTAAACCTACTTGTGTGGATTCTTTAACTGATGATTATGTCCTTATTAGAAATTGTTAGTAAATAAAAATGTTCTAGGTGAGAATGAATTATGCTCACTTGCTTTCATCTAAAAACTAAATGTAATTTTCTGTACACCTTCATTATGTACTGAGGCCCTAATTAATGGAGTGTATTTAGTTTCTGATTTACCATATTTATCCTGCCTCCATCCTTACTTTGTCTCCTTTAACACAGCTGCCAATGAGGTCATTTAAGAGTACTCCAGGATGATTCTCATCCCTGGTCAATTCCTTTACCCACCAGTTTCAAAATCTCATTTCTATTTCTCTTCTCATCCACCAAATTCATGCATTAATTTGTAAGTATACTTCAAGTTTTCAAATTAATAATCTGTGCCTGTTTTGACATCTATTTAACTGAAGTCTTCTACCTCATAGACTGGCATGCTCAAGATTTCCTGCATCATTTCATATCCAGTGCTTGACCAGAAAGAAGAAGCGCTATAATTCCTATAATACTTTTCTGGCTTCACTCTCTTTACTAAACAATCTCCCAAAATTCTGGTTTCCTAGAAAGATTTCCTTGACTAATAGAGAATCAATAAACTGTAGCCCCTTCTTGCTTAATATGTAACTTCTAGGGCTTAATCTGTCTGGGTTGGTCTGTGTGTCTGCCTGTGTGTGTATGTATTTTGTGTCACCCTACCACCTTTGATAGTGTCTTAGCCACAGTGGATTAGGGAGAGCAGTGGGCATAATGTAACAACATTAAGCTGAGGGACAGAAGCTTCCTCAATTCTGCTCCCATTTTTTCTCCATAAGATAGGGCCAAGGATGAAAAACAAACTTTCAGTTTGATCAAATTAAAATGCTAATACCCCTTTAAATTTTGGGTTTTTGATAAACACAAAATTTTTGGCATATTTACTAAAATTTTAGTATAAATTTCTCAGATTTAGCATATCACTTCTTGGTAAGCAGTTGGTAATGATAAGTGATTGCACTGAGTCCAGCCTAGACAGCTCCTTTGTTCCCTGGGAAGTCATTTATAAGGAAGGAACCAAACATCATAAAATCCCCAAAATGCAGCGAGAATGCTAGAATTCAATGTTATATTTCATATAACAGAAATATAAAGGAAGAAAATGATCTCTGGAAAAGAGGGTGGGAGACAACATCAGTTCAGTTTCCTAAATTCTCCAAATATGCCATTCATTGCCATTATTAGGGAAATTATTTTCTATTAGATTATGTTTGCTGGGATTAAAGATGCATATTAGGACAAATATGACTGTCCACAGGATGGTGGGAACCTGGAGTGTTTTATCAATTGTTGCTCTTAATGCTAGATTGTAAATATGTTACATGTAGCTGGATGGAATATGACATAATTATTAAAATTATTATGAAGACTATGTAGAAACATGAAAGAATGTTTATGGCATCATGTTAAAAAGCAGAACATAAATGTTAGATCCCTATGATTAGAACACTTCAAATATATATGTACATGTACACATTTGAAAGTGTTGAAAGGATTATGCAAAAGCAAAATTTTGTTCTATTTTGTGGGTATGACTGATTTTGGTACTATTTTTAAACTTCCTGTAATGCTTTTTTTAAATTGTCTTCATGATTAAACGTGAGAAAAAGCCTTTTCCAGAGAGTATAAAGAAAATACAGCTATAAGAAGGCTTCCTTGAATGCAATATTATCAATGAAGAGGGAAGGATTAAATGAATGCCTTATAAAAATTTCCTCCAGCACAAGGGTGTTTAAAACAAGTGACTTGCTGAAAGGTTTACAATTTTTAGAAACTACATTTATCAAGGAATAAAGGATAGGATAAGAATATGTGAGTATTTGGAGCACCCTAAAATGTTAACTTCAACCTCTATATCATCCAAATGTCTTGGCTTCTGGGAAAACAAAAAATGAAGAAATATGAACAGTTCACTGGATTCTTACCTTTATTTTTTATCCCCTTCCTTTGTTTGGCCTGATGACTATTGAAATTTCCACAGCAGTAATGAACAGAGATTTGGTTTAGGGACCTATCAGTATCTGTTGCTTCTCATTCACTCATTTTTGAAGGTATGTAATTTTAAGATGAACTGGCCATGAAAAGTGACTGCCAAAAAACCCAAAACTTAATATCATTTTAAGTTATTGAAAGAAAATATTAGATTGAGAAGCAAAAATGAGAAAGGTAACGGAAGGTAGTCACACCACTGCAGGACAGTTCCAATCAATTCTGTGGGACCCTTCTCTCCAGTCCCTTTTCAGAGAAGCATCAAGAAAACAGTGCACAGTCAGAAGGGAATAAGCAGGATCTAGAGGGACCTGAAAAGCAACACCATTAAAAATGGTGGAAGGAGTCAAGTATATTTGTCTTGTAAATGACTCAGGGGTCCTCTGAAGACCTATGACAGGTGAGAGAGGGAAAAGAAGGGGTCCATAACTTTTACTTTCAGGCATGTTTCAAACACTCTCTCTGACCCCTGTCTCAATGGGAAGAGTAAATAGGTGCTATAGAAATAGGAATGAACTAATTCAAGAGTTGCTGTTTATGAGCCTCACTTGTGTTCTGGGGGGTAATATGGGCATATAATAGAAGGAAGACCACAGAGTAGTTAAGAATTATGTGGGTGTTATCAAATCAGTCACAATTGGCATGAATCAGCACTGGCATTGCTATGGTAACAGCCAAGGAATGTTGCTCATCCATTTCACTTTGTTCTTAAACCCACAAGGGCTAATGTACAATTCTAAATCTAGTGCATTGATCCAGAAATAGTGCTTTGACAAGGAATATAAACCATACCTAAGATTTTCAGGGAAGATTCCAAAGACTGCTAAGAAGTAAGATGGATCAAAGAGCCTCCGGATCACCCATGATATGAGAAAATCTTTAGGGAAGTCTATACCTTATTGTCTTCAACTCTAAGTTGAAGGTATCAAAAATTATTTCATTGGCTCCTTTCAGGTCTCATTTTCTTGGTTTTGTGGGGTTTTGTTTGTTTGTTTCTTTTTTTGGTTTTGATTTTGGTTTTTTTTGGCCTGGAAGTCTGAAGACTGATGTGAAATCAACAAACCAACAAATATCTTGAGAATGAATTTAAGAAAATAGAGAGATAATAACCATAGTTATCTTATTCACAGCTGTTTCCTTAGAGTTTAACATAATACCTGGCATATAATTGTGCTCTGTAAGTATTTGTTGAATAAATGCAAAATGACTAACTCTTCCCTGCTAATGATGGCAAAACATAACTTAAAAGGAGGATATTTAAATTGATGGCTTTCTTTTTTTCTCCTTTTTGGGATAGGAAACTCTTTCTTTAAATGAAATAAAACCATTTTTTTTAAAAAGGAGGTAACAGGAAGAATTTTTTTTTTGGTACTGGGGATTGAACCCATAGGCACTCAACCACCTATTCATATCCCCAGTCTTTTTTATTCTTTAATTTGAGACAGGGTCTCACTAAGTTGCTTAGGACCTCACTAAATTGCTGAGGCTATCCTCGAAAGTTTAATCCTCCTGCCTCAGTCTCCCTTACTGGGATTATAGGTGATACCACCATGCCTAGCAAGGAAGAAGATATCTTCAACAGGGAAAAATGACAAAACAACATCTGGCATATTCAAGGTACTCCTATAAATCAACAAGGAAGATATGAGATACTATAGGAATATGGGAAAAAGATAGGAACAGTGCTTAGAATGTCCATGGGGTCTATATAGGGTAGGGCTTAATGTAGGCAAAAAACCCTGAGCTGGTCACTTTAGGCTAACTAGCAGCCTCACCTTTTTACCAAAGTATGCTATCGAAATATTACATTCTACACAATGTGTGATCTTTTTCTATATATGCCAAAATATAGGAACAATTGGGAAATACTGGGATAGTCAAATTAACAAGAAAATCCAAATAGCTAATAAATTTGAAATCTTGGGTTTGAACATATCAAGTGGAAATGAAACTATAGCATGATAAAATTGATTAGATTTGAGGAAGAATTACTTCATAGTGAAGGATATGAGATATTAATATAGGTATCTCTGGAAAGTTGCTCTAGGCTTCTTTTCCATGTTTAGAGGTCCCAGGTTGGCTTTTCTGTATAGGTGCTGAATATTCCTAGGGAGCAGGCCTGGTTCCCAAGATCCCGAAAATGTGAGATACTGGAAACCTTCTAAGACTCTCTAAGTCCACAGGGTAGAAATCTACTGCCTTAGATCCAGACTGTTGGATGGGTAGACACACAAACAACATGAAAAAGCAAGGGAACAAATCACTCCAAGCAAACCAAGATACTCCAATAACAGAACCCACTGATACCACAGTGGAAGAAATATAAGAGGAGGAGTTTATAATGTACATAGTTAAACTGATCTGTGAAGTAAAAGACAGTATAAGGAGTAAAATCAGAGAGAAAATACAGGAAGTGAAAGATCACTTCAATAAAGAGAGAGATTCTGGGGCTGGGGCTGTAGCTCAGTGGTAGAGCACTGCCTTGCACATGTAAGACATTGGGCTCAATCCTCAGCACTACATAAAATAAATAAATAAATATATTGTGTCCATCTACAACTAAAAAAATATTTTAAAAAACCCCAGAAATCCTCAAAATGAAATGTCTCAGGAAAGCTGGACTAGCTCCTGTGCATGCATTTTAAGACAGAATTTATTTCACAGATACAGAATGACTTGAAAGAGCTCATCTTCCCCCAAAGAGTCAGACAAGACAGCTTTATAAGGCATCTTTAGTCCTGGTTTCCCTGTGCCTCAGTTTCCCTGATTGGTAAATGAGTTCTGAGGTTACAAGAGACAATATAATCAATCATTGGTCATGGTGATTTAGAGTTAAATTGAAGGTCTCATATACTACTGTCTGGATTTAGAAATAAGAATATGGTCTTAGAGTAGAACTTGGCTCATTCAAAATGACCTTTTATTGACTTTACAGAATAACTTTCATTAAAAATCATTTATTTACAACTTACTCATTTGTAAAATGAAAGTGTTGTACCTTAAATGTTTATAAAGCAATTTCTGCTACCAGCAGTGTGTATATAATATAGATAGATAGATATACATACATATATATAGAGAGAAGAAAGATTCTCTAATAGTGTCTTTTTTCTATACTGAATAGAGTGTCTCTCATTTTCCCTCCAATAAATACAAGAGTGAGAATTATTTAAGCTCTTCTTGACCCACAGAAAAAGAAAATCATGTCATATTGAGTAAAATGTGCCTCCATGGGTACCAAGAAGAAAGTAGAAAATTCAGAAGAATCCTGTAATACTACAACTTTCTCTAGTGATGGCATATCTACATCTTACAGAATCACAAAAAGTAAGAGCCAATAATCACTTAAACAGCAACTCCAACCTACTCATTTTAGAGATGAGTACAAGGTCCAGGGTGAAAAAGACTCTCCTGAGCCTTCCTAACCAATCAGTGACCCAAATGGAACCTTAAATGGGCATCAAAAATTCTCAGTCTGGTATTCTTTTTGATAGATCATTTGTTCCTCACAGGATTCAGTTTAGAGGTGACACAATCCAGGGCAAAAATACTGTCTCTGGCTCAACTAGATGCAGCTTTCTCCAACTGTCTTTGACATCTGTGGCTATAGTAAAGGACAAAGGGAAAGATTTCAAGATATCAACAAAAGCTACTAATTAGGTTGGCTATATTGAGCAAATCCTCAAAGTAAGGTTATAGCACTCCATATGGGAAGATGAATACTCCATTATGTGTTCTGTAAGAAGAGGCCTAGATATTTGGGAGTTGGAAACAGATGATCCTCTAAGACTAAAAGACTCCCACGGGGCCATTACCTGGAAACTCTTAAGAAAATATTCTGTTTCTTAGTCACTCAATCTGTTGATTCCAAAAATAGGAATAACAACTTTTGCTCTGTTTGAAAAATAAATGGCATATAATGTAAATATATTTTGACATGGTAGTATATATATATATATATATATATATATATATATATATATATATATGTGAAAAATTATATTTAATTCTTGTTTTAAGCAATACTTATGAAGCATCTACTATGCTCCAGGCATTGATTAGGGGCAATGCATCAGAAATCATGAGATGAAAACCCCTGCACCTCAACAGAATTTACATAACGGTGGGAGATGGACAATAAGCAAAATATATAAGTGAAATATATATCAGCCATAGTGTAATTGAGAAAAATTAAAAAGGAAAGGGAGAAAGGCAATACAAGTTTATAGATAATTGTCAGGCAAGTTTCTACAAAAATGTATTACTTGAGTAAAACCTTGAAGAAGACACGGAAGGCAGCCATGTAGATATCTGGAGGAGGAATATTCAAGGCAGAGGACAATACAGTGCAAAGACTCTGAGTGAGAGAGGAGGAAACTGAAGATCTGAAAAGTTAATGGGTCATCTTTAAGAACACAGGGATAATTAATAACTAAGGATGTAAAAGCCAGCACTCCCTGTCCCCAGAGTCCTTGTTCTTTCTCCCCTACCTTATACTGCCTCATGAAGAGGGGGAAGACAGCCTTTAATCTTCCAAAAAGGGGTAAGAAAATGTTGAGGTAAAGAAAGTTAAAGCCCATAGGTAATGAAAGTTAAGACCCACAGTCCTTGGCCTTGGTCTTCTCAGAAGAGCCCTGTCCAATATGGTTGCCATCAGTAGTATGTGGTTAAATTTAAGTAAATTACATTTAAATAAAATTGAAAATTATATTTCTCTGTCACACTAGCCACATCTAAAATGTTCAATTGTCAAAAATGGTTGGCTAATAGATACTATACTGGAGAGGGAATGAAGAATACTTTACCCAGTAGGTAGCACTGATCTAGAGAAACAAGAATGTTGAAAAATGTTGTAGTACTACTGACCTCAAAATGGTCCCAAGGCTGGGGGATAGAAAGTAGGATTTGATCTCTCCTCTAGAAGGAAGGAGACAAAAAAGACTTAAAGAAGAATTTTCCCTGCATCAAGTGGAAAGCTATCATTGTATGTGTTTAGTTCTTTTTCAAAAACATATTACTACAGAGTTGAGACTATAGCTCAGTGGTGAAGTGATTGCCTGGTATGGGATACGTCCTGGATCTGATGCCCAGCACATAACTTTTTTCCCATTTCTCATAACTGTTTAGTAAAATGCCCTTTGACAATGTCAGCTTGCCTCTACTGAGCTCAAAAGAATATGAGCAGAAAAGCTCTCACCTTAGGAGAGGAAGATATAGAAGGGATGGGGTTAGTAATGTATCAAAGTGACATACTGAAGGAACTGAAGTTTGTCCTTCTAGCCTTCATCTTTTATGGATTACTTTTCCCAAATTCTTTTCTGCTCAAACCAATAAATGTTCTCCAAGTGAGGGAGGAGGACCAGTAGCATCAGCCTCACCCTTTATACTTAGGGATGCTTAAGCCTTAACCCAACCATAAAATTGATAACTTAGGTTCCAAGAGTGAGGATGCTGGGATCTGCATGCTTAACAATCTCTCCTGGGGACTCTGGTGCACATTCTAGAATGCCAATTACTAGCTTGGAGGAACATGTGTTTTGATTTAATGAGTAAGGATAGGCCCTACATGAGAGCAGAAGCTGGATCCAAAACAAAGAGGGTAAGGGTAGTGTTATGGTTTGGATGCACATGTGTGAAACAATATAAAAATGTTCAGAGAAGAAATGATTGGGTTGTGAATGTCTTTTTTTGGTGGGGGTTGGGGGGGGCAGTTACCGGGGATTGAACTCAGGGGCACTCAACCACTGAGCCACATCCCCAGACCTATTTTGTATTTTATTTAGAGAGAGAGTCTCACTAAGTTGTAAACCTTGCTTTTGCTGAGGCTGGCTTTGAACTCGTGATCCTCCAGTCTCTGCCTCCAGAGCCACTAGGATTACAGGTGTGCAACACTGAACCCAGCTTTGTTTTGAGAGTCTTAACCCAATCAGTGAGTTAATCCCCTGTTAGGGAGTAAATGAGAGGTAACTGAAATGGCAGGGCGTGGCTTGTGTGGCTTTAGGAGATTTTATTTATATATATATATTTTATATTGTATCTAGTAAGTGGAGACCTCTCTTTGCTTCCTTATCACTATGATGTGAGCTGCTGCCCTCTGCCACACTCTTCCATCATGATGTCCTGCCTCACCTAGAACCCTGAGGAATGGAGAAGGCCTTCTATGGACTAAGATCTTTGAAACCATGAGCTTTCAAATAAACTTTTCCTTCTCTATAATTGTGCTGGTTGGATCCTTTAGTCACAATAGAAAAAAAAAAGCTGACTAAAACAGGTAGAGATTCAAGCTAAGGAAGGAGACAGACATGGGGGAAAATGTAAAGGGGAACAAAGAGAGAGAAGGGGAGGGGAAGGAGAGAAAGTGAATATGGATGCATGAATAATAATGAGAAAAGGAGAGAAACCAAAATCAAGAATCTTAAGGGAGCAGTTTCATACATTTGCCTAAACAGGTTGTTTTTACCCCACTGAAAAGCTGTTGATCCCACTAAATAGAATCTGGCAGGCCAATTCATTTGCCCTTTCTAACATCTTGGGACCATCACAGGCAGGCCCATGAGGACTGTCAGTTCTTCATGAAAGTGCCCTCCACCCCACCTTGTGGGCCCCCACATGTAACACCATGACTACCTCACAAATGTCCTTGAGGTGCTTGATGTAGTGACGCTCAGTACTCATGATCTCATTGATGACATTGGCCCGCATCTGGTCCCGGTTCTGTAGTGGCCGGCCCAGACATAGGCAGTCTGAGTTGGGGTCCAGGTGGCCATTCTGCACATCACTGGGCCCTTCCTCTACCCCATCCTCCTGGTTCACCCAGAGCTGTAGAAGCAAGCAGAAAAATAATAATTTATTAACCTCTCTTCTTTGAAGACTTTCAGTCAAGTAGAAAAAGGACAAATTAAAACTTTTAGGAATTCAGAGAGCCTTCAATCAAAGGTCCCTGCAAAGAGAATGTCAGACCTGGCCCTGAGCATGATTCAAATCCTCTCTAGGTCTCTGGTGACCTATCTGTGAAATGTAAGATATGGGCATGAAGAAATGTTCTCTGGGTAGCTTCTTGGCCAAGAAGGTCTCAGAAGAGTGGTAAATGGTGGCAAGAAGAAATTGTTTATGCTGAAGCACATCTAGATAACCCGGCAGGATGAAATAAAAGAAAAAAAATTAAACTATACATCTTAAGTGCCACAGCTGGATTATTGTCAAAACACAGCATTTAAGTGCCTATGAGTGTGACCATCAAAGTTAGATGCTGAAGTGGGTGTCTCACAAAGAGGGCTTTTGGTATGACTTCCATCACAGGGTGCACAAATAATAATAAAATTTTAACTGTAAAATTCCTGGGACATGCAAATATTTCTAACCCTTCAAGATCATGATGGGGATGGCATAATATTTCCCAGGGACCTAATAATAACAGTCACTGATTAAGCACTTAATATACAACAGGAACTATGCTAAGAACTTTTAGTAAACTTATATTCAGTCTTGCTAAGTAGGTACCATTGTTACTCCCATTTCACAGAAGAGGAAACTGTGGCTAAAAGAAATTAAGGCATGAGTTTGAAGTCACACAGGAAGCAGAGAAGCTGGGATAAAAGCCAGACAATTTGATTCTACAGCCTACCCACTTAACCACTATTCCAGAAAATTTGTGCCTCTGACTCTTAAGGGGGGCATGAAAAAAGATGGAAAGGGTTTGGGCCAATGTGGGGTGAGAATTATTAGAATAATCAGAACTGGATATAGTTGACACAGATTGAAACTGTCTATTCCAAATCATGAAGTTGGAGGGAAGCTGGAAAAACTTCTTTTGGGAAAGCTGGGTGATTTGGAATAGACTTAGCTTGAATCAAAGAGATGACCTATTTCACCTCAGTCCTAGAAAGGGGGAAAGCATGGCGGTAGGGAGAAAAAGATGGCTTGGAACCCTAGGGAGAGCGGTAAAATTTGTCAAGGTTAATTAGATAAGGAGCTTGCCAATTGTCTCAACATCATTAATCAATTCTCCATACTTCCCTTCCCTACTCTCCAATTTTTTTCCACATCCCTGACTCAAGAAGATCAGATCAAACAATTTAGATTCATCTCCATTTCTGCCATCTGAAAAGCCTGTTAGTATGTGGCTTTAGGATAACAGAGGCTTTAAGATGAAGCTAGAGGAAGAGTAGTTACTTCTCAACTCTGTGTATTCTTCCTTCTCAGTTTCTTTTCTAGGAGGCAGGGAGCATTGTTATCTGCCAGGAAAACCTAGAGATGTTATTAGCATATATTCTACTTCCTTGCTACAGGCCAAAGCAAGTAGTGATCACTCTGTTTTAATACATTTTACATAGTCAAGTGTACAAAATTTATCTAACCCCAAATCTATCACCTTCCTTAAATTCTCTATTGGAAATCTCTTCCAAAAGGTCAGTTTTGTGCCTTCAATATGCTAATAGCTACCATTTAATATAATTGAGAGACAATATGAGAGACCTGCTGAAAAGGTGATTCCAAGGCACCCACAGTAAACACCTGATATGCATGATGTTGCTATTTATAATAATGAAAACATCGCTCACAAGCAATCTATTAGCTTGCTCTACTTCTCAGACTGAGCTAAGCCCTGCTATACAAAAGGTACCACTGTGAGGCCTTTAAAATATAAGAATCATTTATTTTCTTCTCTGGAGTTTAAGACAAATTCAAGTCAAAACATTGGTTTTTGGATGACTGAAATAAGATGGAATATTTAGAATAGTTCCAGTGGGAAGGAATACAGAATATGAGGCCAGAAAACTAAAAGGTGAGGAAGGCAACTTCATTCCAACAACCCCAGAAACCCATTCCTTAGGTTAAGACACTGCTTTCATCCAAAATAACTATCAGTATATTCATTCATTTATTCAATAAATCTATGTCAATGCCTACCATAGGTCAGATATTGGGGATAGAGCAGCAAACAAAATAAACAAATCTTTCCCTTTGTGGATCTTAACTTTGGAGAGACAATGTTTCCTAGCCTAGAAAAAGGTACCATGCAAGGCACAAAATATTGTGTTCCTGAACTCAGGGTCATAGAAAAGATCCTCTAGGCCTTATGATATGACGTTTTGGCCTAACCCCTAAGTCTCTGTTCTTAAGAGTTTCCCTATTCTGTGCAGATGAAGGCCCTAGTCCACTTGCATGTCAGAGTGCAGAGAAACAGGTGAGCCTATAAGCTTCTCTTCCCTGGGTGGAATTTCAGCCCAGAATGCCATTATCAACCTGCACAATGGCCTGTGTAAGTTAATGTGTACCTTTCTACAAGTGTTATTCACTGATGCTGCAATTAAAACCCATAGGCTGCTGGATTATTAGTAAGAAGAAGGGCAATGTCCCAAAACTGCCAGGTTGGAAAACTTTTCCAGAAACCCTCTCAGAGTACTTAAAGGCTAGTTTCCTCAGCCTTAATTGAACACCATAGTAGACTGGAGTAGTGTAGTTCAATGTAACAAATAATTACATGGGACCATTTCTGTGCCTAACTAGCATTAACTGTGAGTGAGACATAGGTGAGCAAGACAACCAACACCTTCATCTTCTTTCAAAACCAAGGTGTGCTTTCCAAATCAGAGACAATCTCTGGTCTCTCATTTTTCCATTGCCACTGGTATTGCCTTCATCTCTTTATATCTGCATAAGTTTCACATGTCACTATCAAACTAATTTCTTTGACTTTCACTTTGATTAACTACTCTCATGCCCCCAAATTTTCATTGGCTTCCCACTGATTATGAAGCAAGTCCAAATCTTTCTTTTTGACATTCAAATCTTACTATAATCTGACTCCAATCTCTATTTCTACCTTTACCTCCTACTACTCCCTTTAGGAATGTTGGGTTCCTCTCAGACTGATCTGTTCTCAAATATTCCAATTTATATTCTTTAATACAATGCTGGAACAAAAAAAAATGATATAGTTCGGAGGCTCTCCATTACTTCAGTAACAATGACCCAACCTTTCAACTTACTGATAATTAAGCTGAGGCCCACAGATTTCCATGGAGTTAGTAATATACCCACAATTTTCTACAAAAATTTATTGGTGCATCATAATCATATATAATAATGGAATTCACTGACACACTCATATCATCAATGTGCCCATTTATTTACATAGAGAACACTCTTCTATTTTCTTTCTTTTCTTTGTATTATTATTATTATTATTATCATCATCATCATCATCATCATCGCATCAGAGACTGAACCCAAGGGTGCTTAACCACTAAGCCACATCCCTGGCCCTGCCTCCCTTTTCTTGAGACAGGGTCACACTAAGTTGCTTAGGACCTTGCTAAATTGCTGAGGCTGGCTTTCAACTTGTCATCCTTCTGCCTCAGCTTCCCTAGCTTTGGAATTATAGTTGTGTGCTGCTGCACCCAGCTCACATCTTCTATTTTTGGTTTTATTTTTAAATTATACAGTTGATACAGGAACATATTTGCCTTGTAAAATGTTGAAATAGAGAAAAAGGAAGAAGACTCAATTGATTATAATCTGAGATGAGAGAAGAAATATCACTATCATTCCTACGTAAGGATTAAATGGGCATACTATGAACAATGGTATGCTAAGAAATTAGTTAAAATGATGAAATGAACAAGATCCTAGAAAGACATAAATTACTGAAAAATGACTCAAGAAGAAATAGAAATTTTGCACAGGACAATAAAAAGTAAAGACTTTGAATGAATGAGAAAATCTCCCATATGAGGGAAAAAACATGATACAGAATCACAGACGGCTTCACTCATGAACTCTACCAAACATTTAAAAAACAATTAACAATAATCTTTCACAGATTCCTCTGAAAATTAAACGTAGAACTCCTCAACAGAATACTAGCAACCTAAACCAAGCAACATAAAAAAAATTCCATCTTACCAGACAGAATTGATCTTAGAAATGCAAGATTGATTGAACATATGAAAATCAATGTAATAATGAAATAAAGGTTACAAAACACCACATAATAGTCTCAATAGACACAGAAAAAGCATTTAAAAAATTCAGCACTCATTTATAATAAAAAAGACAGAAAATAGTGTTTTGAGGGAACTTCCTCAAAATGATAATAGACATTTATGAAAAACCATAAAATCATTCCTAATGGTGAAAGAATGAATGCTTTCATTGTATACAATCAAGAACAAGACAAGGATATCTGCTTTCATCACTTCTATTCAACCTTGTACTGGGGGTTCTAGCCAATAAAACTGGACAGGAAAAGTAAAGAAAAGGCTTTCAAGATTGGGCAGAAAGCAAGACTTCTTTAAAGTGCAAGAAGTAAAATCAAGAATCAATAAATGGGGGCTGGAGTTGTTGCTAAGTGGAAGAGTGCTTGCCTAGGACATTCAATCTTCAGCACAACATAATAATAAATAAATAAATAAATTGAAGGTATTGTGTCCATATACAACTAAAAATATGTTTAAAAAGAATCAATAAATGGGATGGATTCTAACTAAAAAAAAAACAAACAAACAAACAAAAAAAAACTTCAGCAAAGGAAGTATTCAATAATGTGAAAAAAGAGCCTATAGAATGGGAGAAAATCTTTACCACATGCACCTTTAATTGGACATTAATCTCTAGGAACTGAAAAAACTTAGCACCAAAAACAAAACAAATATCAAATAACCCAATCAATAAATGGGCTAAGGAACTGAACAGACACCTCTCAGAAGAAGAAATATAATCAATCAAAAATATATGAAAAAGTATTTAACTTCTTTAGCAATTAGACAAATGCAATTCAAAACTACACTTAGATTCCTTCTCACTCCATTCAGAAT